TAACCCTAGTAGTTAGACAATGTATTTTTTTTACAGGCTGGCTGGGGACTGTGCAGGGAAATTGTTGTTTTTGCACTTCCATGTGCACTTTGCTTAAAGCTAGTTATGAATTGATGAGTGCGTTTGCCATTTGTTTCACTTGTTTGATTTGGTGCAGGGACACACTGGGGGCATCAGCTGTCATTGCGATATGTGGGGCTTCTGGTGTGTCCCTATGCCCTTCAGGGGGTTGGGCAACCTTCTGGCAAACCTGCACCTGCTTCATCCTTTGCTATATATGCTTCAAGATGGAGGCTCTCATAGATTAGAGTTAGGACCAGACTATACAGAGGGGCCTTGACAAGGTAGTGTGGCTTCCACATATTTTGCAAAGTTGTGCAACTAAAAACCTCTGCTTTTAGCCCTAGTGGTTAGAAAGGGTATTTTTTGCCGGGTGGCTGGTGAGTGTGCTGGAAAATGTTTGTTTTTGTACTTATGAAAAGAGGACATCAGGATAATTGAGAAGTTGGTGGATTGTAAAGTTATTCCCTTTACCTTTGTGTGACGGATACTGTGCACAGATTGAAACCTGGGGTATGGAAGGGATACTAAGGCTACAGAGGTTTCAATGCACTGTATATATGTAAACATTGGGAGTATATGTCAGAATAATAAAGCGTTGTGATTTTAATGAAACATTGGTGTGATGAACAAGCTTTGGGTACTGGAAAAGAACACTTTCTGTGTTGACTACAACTGATGGCAGGCCTCTCTTTGTATCACAAACTGCTGTCGGAAACCATACTAAGATTCTGGTGCAATATTATTATTATTATACAGGATTTCTATAGTGCCAACAGTTTGCGCAGCGCTTTACAATATACGGAAGACAGTACAATCAGGTACAATTCAAGGCAAGATGGTAAGGAGGGCCCTGCCCCTGAGGGCTTACAATCTGAAAGGGAGGGGGAAGTGATACATGAGGAGGTAGCTGTGTGGGGATGAATTGTCTGAGAATGTGATGGCTGAGTGGTCAGGTTGAGGTGGGATAGGCTTCCCTGAAGAGATGAGTTTTAAGGGATCAATAGGCAATAGAAAGTATTAGGAAATATGTAATACTAGCAATAAAATATATGTATTCAGAATATGTAAATCATTTTGTGTGCATAGTCTGGGAACAGTTTTACTTTACATATACAGTAGCACCCAAAGCATTTTATTATATTTGTTCAATAATGGTAAAAAAATTACTTGTTAATCTGCTAGAAATCAAGTGAGCCGATAACTTCCTCTGCTCTCTGTCCGTGCAGCAATATTACCACTGGGCTCTGCTTCATACTTTCTGTGGAATACAGAATAACTATCCTATTTAGAAGATGTCAACATATCCTGTTATGAAGATGTCATTCTAGGACAGACACCGGCAGGATAAATAAAAGAAAAAAAAAGCTTCAAAAAAGTGAATGCAGCCACCAAATTCAAGGACGTGTAAGCTGCGATATATTTTATTTTTGTTCTTGGGTGTAGAGATACTTTAGCTGTTATTACAGGAATTAAACCGAAACAATTTCTTCAATTGTATTCACTCATATTTTATTGTAAGCAAAATAATTCAGTTGCACTCATCAAACATGTAACATTGACAAAGAATTTGATAGGAAATAAAAACACTAGCATAGCCGTATACAAAAGAGACAGCAGACCCACTATATCTCTTTGAAGGAAACACTTTTTAAGGTCAGACAGATATACATAATCTGGTTAGCAAAACAAAAATCCATACTATTATTAGCTTTTCTTACAGTACTGTACTGTACAAGACAACAACTGGATATTTGCTAAACCAAATTGAACTATTAAATGATCTATAGAAGGTTGTAAGATGTTACCACCTAGTGGCATACTGTCATCATATCTTACCCCCCCCAATGCAATTCCAGGAAACAAAACCAACTGACACCAGACCTATTCTTAGAAAAAAAAGGCAGTTAGCTATTAATATCAGTCAGTCTAATATCAGTCTTGCCTTTCTTTGGATTAATTGGCCTTATTTATCAAGGCCAAATGTAAGGTGCCAAGTGCAGCAACTGCTCACAACTAGTTCAAACTCTTTTTTTTTTTTTAACTAACCAACCTTCAGTTAATAGAAAGTTGATTGTCGCCTCTCGGTCCTGAAAGTCCAGGTAATTTTGTTAGACACAATAGTATCAGTAAGTAGTCATCGCGTTTCGGACACTTAATTGGTCTCCCATCATCAGGGCTAAAAATACAGTACATGAAGCATGTAAAAGTATTTTCAGGGCCAATGAAGGGGAACAAGTGAAGTCCTCAAAATGCATTGGCTGCAGTCAGCTTTCAACAATATTTAACTGGATGTTCAACATTTGAAGTGCTCTCTTCCCTTCACTACATATATTACTGGTTTTCCAAGGACCCATTTGGGCACATCGGTCTCTAAAGAGCTGCCTCTGTTTCAAAAATGTAAACATTGGAGACACTTTACTTGGTTCCAGTGCTCCACCAATACTTTCTTCTATAAAACTAGTTGGGTCTGTTTGACCCAACTAGTAGACCCAACTAACTAATAATAAACAGCAAAAATAAAAATGGGGCACCATCATGACTTTCTACAGCGTGACAATTAAAATGTCAGTCTCTCGCAGCTGGATTTTACAGCCATTGTACATTGCAGAAAATCCAGCCGCCACATTTAAAAACTGGTAAGCTGCAATATATAACATTTATGTTCTTTAGTTTGGATATCTTTTTTTTTTAAGTGAGTCTGATTTACAACAATAGATGTTTTCTTTTATATATGGAACAGCTTGTCTGGCTTGTCCATTTACTGAAGTGCTATCACTGGTAATGGCTAATTTCGAGGCCCAATTGCATTTTTAATCATTTGTGGGAGTGAGAAATCATTATATAATCTGTCAAGTTTTTATTGCAGTACGTGTTCCTGTTTGGGAGATTTTGCTTAGCTTTCTGTTCCGATGGCACCCCGTGAGGCTTTAACCACTTGAGGATTTTGAACATGAGAGATACTTCTTAAAAATGTTACCAAAGTGCTCAGGATACATTTTGTGTGCCCAGCTCTTGTCCCCTTGACCAGGAACTGCTATGTATTACACAGCAGTGTGCATTCATTCAAAGTTATTGAGTAAATACAATGTAACAATGTATTGTTTCAATGAATTTATTATTTCTTTGTGACCTTTGATCTGAATATGACATCAGTTATGTGATGAAACTTACAAGTAAAAAAAAATAAAAAAAATCTAAATAAAATGTATTACTATTTAACTCCTTATGAACCCTAATCAGTACTAACTCCTTCCTCCCCTTCTCCCCTTAACTATTATGTTAATGCTGATTTATTTTTTTTACCTTTAATGAGTATTTGTTTATCATTATTTTTTTCTATTTTCATTTGTTTTGGTTGTTATTTTTTCAGTTTAACATAAATTGAAACAACAACTTTTTTTTTTATCTGCAAATAACTTTGCCGTGTTTTTTTGTACCATAAACATTATTTTTAGAGTCGTTTATGGGACAAATTATAGAAAGACATGTATACTTTTTATTTACAGTAAAACTACCTGCAAAAGTAGAAAAATGCCCTTTTAATTTAATTTAATTATTTTTACATTTTGTGTCTATGATTTACATAGAAAGTGAAATGATTTTTTTTGGAAGACAAAATTACCAAAAGAAATCCTAGTGTAGTCCCCAAAAAACAATGAGGGGAATTTATCAAAACTGGAGCAGATACAATCTGGTGCACCTATGACAGTCTCTGATCCATCACTGTCTCCTGCCTCTTCCTGTCCCATGGAGTCTGTGTGGGTTGCGTGCATTGACTTACCTTGTGTCTCTTCTCTTCACCCGTCTGAAGATCTGCTCCTGCTCATAATCCTTTGCGGCCGCCCGAGACTTTTCAGATCTTCGGACGGGAGACACAGGTAAGTTTTAACCCTTTTGTTAACTTTAAAAAAAAAGTTTTAGCATATATCCACTCCTTGTTAGAAGTAGATATATGTAAAAAAAATGCAATGCTTTAATGATCATTTAACTGAGTAAATTGAAGAGAGAAGCTGATTGGTTGCTATGGGCAACTGCTCCAGAATCTGCCTGCTCCAGTTTTTATGAATTGCCCCCCAATGTATATATTACTTTGTTATCTTAGGTAATGGCAACGTTATTGCAAAATAAACAGGCCTATAGTGGTAATGTAAACATTGGTCTGGTCCATAAGGGATATTCAGGTATCAGAGCTGAAGTGGTTACAATCTCTTGGTGAACTTTAGAAACACATGATTAAAAATTGATAGCATTACATTAGCATTACTCAAAAGCTAACCACTGAAATGTTCTACAAAAATATGTAAACCTTTGATCCTACAATATCACCACCGGCCTCTACAGATACTCACTGGCCATTCTTTGTTTTAGAGCTATCTAAGCCCTCTGCTTCAGTCTCCAGTGCCAGCACTGGACCTGATATAACAGCGTTCTATAAAATAACTCTTTTTGAACCGAATAATTAATCAAGATTAATTAACACCTCCCACACATTGTAACAACCAAACCGAACTCCATTCCCCAAATCACACTGTAATAAGATCTACTAAGACAAATGACACAACACATTCCTATGCTTACTAAGCAAGAAGCAGCATGCAAAGGGGAATTGCCCTTAGCAGCCAATCACAATTTATCTTCCACTATTCTGACTTCAGTCATCTGAAATCTGAGGTTCTTGCTCTTTGATTCCTTTTGATAAACTAGTGATTTCATAAAAACCCTTGAAGGTATTTTCCAGCGTCATCCAGAGGCTCAGTTTGGCTATTAATCTGAGATCCCGAAGTCCAGCAAACTACCACACATATGAACAGCTGGCTTTGTTCATCTCTATTGTTAAACTACGAAAAACAATGTGAAGTCCTCTAAAGAGTTTTATCACAAATGTGGGGCTCTCCCTCTTCACCTCCATTAAAGATGCCATTTAGAAAGTTCTTGATTTATGTTGAGAACTCTCCGAGTTCATCTCGCCAAGCTGCAAAAGCGCTCTTAATTGTTTCCTCACTCACATCGTTGAAAATTTCTACAAACAGATAAAGACATACACTTAGAGGAGATGTTCACATTTCATGGTCTAGTACTTTTTAGGACAATAACACAAGGATCACTACTAGGGATGCACCGATGCCGATACTGAGTATTTGGGCGAGTACGCACAGATGTGTCCATAACTTTACAGACCAAGTATTATGCAAGTAGGTAATACTAGCTCTTTACAAAACTGGCTTGGCTTGGTAATACTGGCTCTGTAAAATCAACTCTGGGTTCTCATTTTAAAGGGGTGTCCCATTGTGTGCAGAGCAGCCTTATGGGAGCCACCACACCATGTTATAATCTGACTTACTCACCAAACATTTGAATCCAACGACTTGTTTCCACTTGTTAGGGATAGAAACAGATATCCTAAGGCAGGCAAAACAGCTCCCTTGCTTGAATCTCATCTGTATATTTAACTGTTTGCCTTGTGCTCAGTTTTAATCATTACTAAATGGAGTACATGTTGGCTGTTTAATTATATTATGCATACATTTGACCTGTAGCACTATGACGTACCTGCAGTTCCCAACCCGGTGGGGAGCGGCAAGCGCAGTTTTCCCCCACTGTGCTTGAATCTCTCACCCAAGGCTTTCTTTATAAGCTGGAGAGAGCAGACATTGTGCCAGACTGGCAGCTCCAGGTTCCTCATACACTGCACCGTGCGATCCTTCTCCTCTGATGTGATCAGCCCAATTTCATGTGATACATACGTCATAAATGCCATGTCAATGTTCACCGCCTCCCCATGCAGTAGGGCTGGCAACACTTTCTGCAATGTAAAATACACAGTTATACAACACTGATGGTAGAGGTCTACAATAGGTACTCTGCTGTCATGTTGAACGTCTGGCTTTGGTACTTTCTAGGTTGCTGACTGAAGTTTCGGCTTTTATATTCACTTCGGGCATACAGGTTCCTGGCCTGCGGCTCAAAAATATTAAAGCCAGAGTCAGCCAGGCAAAAAGCTTTTGCAGAATGTTGTCAATAATGGCTGCCCTGGTACTTCTATTATAGCTTTCTACCAGGAACCTTTATGTCTACGGCCTAATCTGAGACAATCTAAGTAATTGAACTAAAGGGGGTAGAATGTTTTCTGATCTTGTGTACCATTTCTAGCTCCGGGCTTATGACATGTCCATAGTCCACCAATCGGTCCAGGTCATCTTCCCACAGGTTTGGAGCAAGTTCTTCCAGCATAGTCTGGATGGCCAGTCTTGTGGTTGTTAGGGCAGGATCACTGCGGCATGCATGGCCATTCCTGGACTGGAACTTTGTGTCTAAGAGGTATTTGCCATGTTTCTCCAGCAGTTCAAACAGCCCCTTGTGCTTCATTAGAGCCATCTGAAAAAGTGTAGCATTCTAGACTTAATAGACAGTACACACAGATACATACATACACTTCATACAGTATATAGCAGACTGATGTGTGCCAGAGCAAGAAATTGACATGTAGAAGAATATATAAAACATGGAATTAATACTATTATTAGCCAGTTAGCTAACATAAAATTACCTTTAAAATTTCCCCAAGGCCATTAGAAATCTGACGACGTGGAATGGTCTGGATAAAGGACCTGTCAAGGAATGTGGCAATTGGTGGGGTGTAGCTTCCTATCTTGTTCTTGCAGTTGCAGAAGTTGACTCCATTTTTAGCTCCAACGCTGGCATCAACGTAGGACAGAAGAGTGGTGGGTACTCGGATGTATGGGGTGCGGCGCCTGTAAAGCGAAGCTGCCAACCCCACAGCATCCAAGCATACCCCTCCTCCAAAGGCTATGATTGGTTCAGTGCGTCTGTCAAGGCCAAACTTATGGACTTCTTCCAGGATATGCAGGACGAGGTCAATCGACTTGTTTTCTTCAGTGGTCTCCAGTGCAAGGATCTTGTAAATGACATTGTGGGCTTCGAAGTATTTCCTGACTTTGGAACCGTATAATTGTTCCACAGTTGCATCCATCACAACAAAACGCTTTTGAGTTTTCTTCTGGTTGTCTTCTAGTTCTTGCGGGTCTGACCCATGGCCGTAAAGAAGGGTCTTGTTTCTAGGATTTAGAAGATTAAGAGTTTCTACCACTTTGTAGCAGAAGTAAATTGGAGCTTTCACAGTCCAGGAGACACCAGACTCGGTTACCTGTTCACCTCTGTTACAAAAAGAAAAAACATTTAATATGTATGCCTGTATCTATCTATCTATCTATCTATCTATCTATCTATCTATCTATCTATCTATCTATCTATCTATCTATCTATCTATCTAATTACAGTTAACATAAAGATTTTTGATTAGTGGTGATCAAATTATGAATTATATCATTCTGCTCATTCTGATCTCTTCTCCACTCAGCACATCTGCAAGCTGCCGTGCCTGACTGGCTGCCATTGCTGACCCTCTCTATCCTAGGGGGTTATTCACTTAGCTGCCAAAGGCTGAGCTAAAGCTCCGGCAGCTCACTCCTTGCTGTTCGCCCCTATTTTCATAGGGCCCCAACGGCAGATGAGTGAATAGCCTGCTCAGAATAGAAAAAAATGTAAATAAATGAAAAATAAAATTTTACAAGTATTTTTAAAAATGTAAAAAAAAGAAAGAAAGAAAAGAAAGAAAATAATACAAATATTTTAAATAAATAGTTTTAAAAAAAGACACGCTGACTCGACCGCACGTGACGAACTTCCGCCGTATAATGTAAAAACTGACAGATGCCAGCAAAATATAAACAATTGGGCGGAGCTAGTGGTGACATCATCGTTAGCTCCACCCAACTGTTTCCTGTTGGCCGTCATCTGACAGAGTCTTCTAGCAGGTCGCGGGCAATAAATAACAAAAGTTATTTGTTAAAACACCAGCTTCCCAGGCAATCAGGAATCTCCCTGAAAATCTTGGCCCACGGATGACGGTATTGGTATTCGGTATCAGTGAGTACTGAAAAACAAATATCTGTTCTTGTACTTGATACTGAAAATGGTATCAGTGCATCCCTACATTTAAAGTGTTATTCACAAAGGATTAAGCAGAAGCATTGGCTAATCCTTCAACTCACTTCAGCCGCCGGAGCTCTCTGGTTCAGCTGAACCAAAGGGCTGCTGTACGAGCTATTCACAATAGCCCATACAGCAGGCGAAGGCAGGCGACCGACTCAGCCAAGACGAACGTAAATGCTTCGGCTCAGCTGAGCCGAAGTCACAGCCAAAGCGGGGAGAACAGTCTGCCGAAGAAGACCGTTCTGCCCACAAATGTAAACAACTGGGCGGAGCCAAACGTGATATCATGGCTGCTTCCGCCCAGTTGTTGTCATTCAATGACAGCCCAGCATCCTCAGGTTGTTTGAGGTCACCGGACTGTCATTAAATGACAACAACTGTGCGAAGTCAGCCGAAGCAGACCATTCTCCTTGCAAATGTAAACAACTGGTTGTTTGAGGACACTGGGCTGTCATTGAATGACAACAACTGGGCGAAGCCAGCCATGACATCACGGCTGGCTCTACCCAGTTGTTTTGATTTGGCCCGGGACCTGCGGGAAAACTCTGACAGTTGCAGGACAAATGTAAACAGCTGGGCAGAGCTAGCTGTGATATTACCGCTAGCTCCACCCAATTGTTTATATTTTGCCAGCATCTGTCAGAATGTAATTTTGCTGCAGGTGTTCGTCGCATGTGGACGGATCATCGTGATTGACCCTGGATAACATCGTTGGATCAATTTTTGGGAATTCTTTTTAACAAAAGGCCTTTTGTGTTTTTTTTTATTTCAAAAGGCATTTTTACAAAAGTCTGGTCTTTTTATTTACATTTTTAGTTTAAACCTTTAGCGAATGAGTAAGGGTACAAATATCCCCTTACTCGTTAACAAGGGGGGGGGCAGCATCTAGGTGCCCCTTATTAATGCGGGTACCCAAATGCAAAAAAGATCCCCTGCCCGCAGACCACCACATCCAACGCCCCAGGGCTTGTGGGAAAGAGGCCCTTGTCTCCATTGGCACGGGGACAAGGTGCTTTTTTTAGGGGGGACTCGAGAGCATGTGGCCTGGTAGGGAGGGGGGCCGCTCGCTTGCCACCCCCTTTCCTGCTCTGCCTGTGTTTAGATTAAGGGGGGACCCCACGTTTTTTAAAGGGTCTGGAACGGTTTGAAAGGGGGACCCCACGCTGTTTTTTTTAACTTTTATTAATGTGTAATTTTTTTAGTCTGCTCGCTACCTCCAAGGTAGCGAGCAGAATAGCCGAGATGAAAACTGCTCGGCGGCATTCGGCTATTCACTCCCTGCCATTCGGCCCCTATGAGAATAGAGGCGAACGGCAGCGATGTTGGATCGGTTGAGTCGAACGGCTCCTTCATTTTGGCTCAGCTGAATATGCTGAGCATGTTCGGCTGACGGAAGCCAGCCGAAGCAAGCCGATGTACGACTGATTTTAGTCGATGTAGGGCTGAAATCAGCCGTACAGGGCCAAAGTGAATAGCCGGCTCACTTTACTTCGGCTCAGTTAATCACTCGGCTGCCTTTGGCAGCTTTGTGAATAACCCCCTTAGTGATTGGTCATGAATAAAAAAAAAAATGATCTTCAGTAATAATCATTAAATATAAAAAAAAACAACCATTTACATTGTTGGTCAGTGTAGAGGTGACCCCCTTACATTGGTGGTCAGTGTAGAAGGTACCCCTTACATTGGTGGTCAGTGTAGAAAGAACCCCTTACATTGGTGGGCAGTGTAGAAGTTACCCGTTACATTGGTGGTCAGTGTAGAAGGGACCCCTTACATTGGTGGTCAGTGTAGAAGGGACCCCTAACATTGATGGTCAGTGTAGAAGTTAACCCTTACATTGGTGGTCAGTGTAGAAGTTACACCTTACATTGGTGTTCAATGTAGAAGTGACCCCCTTACCATGGTGGTCAGTGTAGGCAGGAGAGAGATCTGCTACCTCTCTCTACTTAACGGGCCTCAGCAACATCTGGAGGAACCTCAGGGTTCCAGTGAACACTGGTTGAGAAAGGCTGTATTAGACAGTTGCTAAATGTTTGTCATATCCTCCAAGACATTGTTCATATATGAAGCTGCACTCCTGGTGATACTAGACCTTCAAATAATAAATGGGTGCTCAAAGTGATTGTGTCAAATGGTGCCACGCCCAAACCAGTTTAGGAGATATGAAGTCACCAGCACTCCAGAAGAACAGCATCACAGACATACACTGACATTTTGGAGCACTACAGAGCCCCCTTTCAAGGAACTCTATGTTGTCCAGAGAAAGGGACCCTGCAGAGCTCTGAAAGGTCAGTATATATGTCTGTGATGCTTTTCTTCACGATAGATTTGTGAGACGCAATTACGTGTCTGGACTTCTGGTGGCTTTGTATCCATATATCTTATGTAAATACATGCCTATGTGATTGCAAGCAGCTCTGCCACTGGAGTTCCAGAGAAATAAAAGGCAGAAAAATTAAAGGGCCTTCAAGAAAGTCTGCTGCATTTGGAAAGTAGACCAAACTACGACTGATACCCGTAACATCCAATTAAATTGACAAGCACAGTCTTAGTTTGCCATACTGAGTACTTATAAATCAGTAAGGCTCCACAGTTACCTATAAAATAATTACTGAATTTGGAACTCCAGCTATGATGGAACTGCAAATCTTATCATGCCTCTGCCTCTGGAACTAATTCCTATGATTGTCAACGTCTCCCAGTGCCTCATGGGACTTGTAGTTCTACAACAGCTGGAGTGTTGAGGTTGCCAACCCCTGACCTAAGCAATTTTTAAGCTCGATCACACTACTAAAATTTCTAAGAGTATCAATCGCTACATAGAATACAATTGATGCTGAGTTATTAGAATATGAAAGAGTTGGTTGTCCTTTAAAGTATATATACACCCAATTCCTAAAATCTCATATATGCAAAATATATACAATGTTAATGTCATTTTAAAAGTAATTTTTTATGTTTTTCAATTTGCAGAATTTATTAAAAAAAAAACCATGAGGGCCTTTATTAAAGCACTTCCTGTTATTGGATGACAACACTCTGTCCCTGTTTTTAAATTGGTCTTTATTAAAGCTATAGGGTATCAACACTCCCTTGTTTTCACAATGAGCTCCTTTGTTGTCACCTTCTGACAAAGACTACAAGTAGCCATTTCAATACAAAATTCACAGGCGCTTTTCCCTGTTGTCACCATCGGGAAAGCAGCCATGAGAAATGCCATGCAGCCATTGCTGGAGTGCATGAAGACAAGCAATGGCCACAAAGTCCCACGAGGGACTACAATCTCCTGGTTAATTAACTCATTTGTATTAAGATTGTAGTCCATCACAGGAGTGAGCTTGGAGTGGTGGCTACAAACAGAAGAACCATGGGGAACAAAAGTAGCCACCCTCCAGAAGGAAGGACAGTGTCAGCACCAATTCAGAGATGATTTGAGGATCTACAGCTGAGTGATACACAAATAAGATTTTTTTTATTAATAGTTAAGGTACTTGAATCCATTGACTCCTGAGTCTAGTGTCACTTCAACTTTTAGGAACCAGAACAAATTTTTTGGTCATGTAAATACTTACATTTTAGCCTGGGAGACCACAACTTGATCTTCCTCCCACGTAGTAGGTATTTCTTGACCGCATTCAACGCGGCACCAAGTATTCTTCACCTGCACCAGTTGGTACTCCTTTTGCTTGCTCCTGCTTTCTGGCACATCTGGCTTGGTGCTACCTCGGACTGGTGGGATTGTTAAGAGATCACCTGCTGGCATGTCTGCTGAATAAGGTTCCTTGGTTTTGCAAAAAATAAATCTTTTCAAGGCTTCTGGTTCCAGCCTCAGAACTGGCACAAACTTATAGTGGTTTTTGAAAGGGAGGAGCCGTCAGGATCTCTCTCACCTGTACATAGTTTATACAACTTGAGTTGTATAACATGCGGGGCGTGTGAAAGAATGCGATGAGGCTGGAGTTTCTAATTAGACTGACAGGTTGTGTAACGAATATTCACTGAGAGTTCCACTTACTTAACATCACATTCCTTTCTGACAGAATGATTATGAAAGATGCTGCAGCCTGAAAGTCACATTTTCTTATCTAGATGTGTAAAGCTGTGAAAAGTAAGATTTCGAGGATCACTATTATCCAAATGAGAAAGTATGAAATGTAATATAGTCTGTCGCACAACAATTGCTTTAAGGGATCTGTGGCTTTGTCTTTATTAAAGCTTGCACTGAATTCCTGGGATGGTAGCTACTCTGCTAATGAAGTGTTTGAAAAAAAAAATCTTGCTTTCTTATATTGTCTTTTTACAGATTGTCATTTTTATAGTAAAGTGGAAAGTTAAAAATGTATCTGATTTACTACGTTTTTTGGTGACTTAAGGTGCCGATACACCTGACGGTTAACGTACTATAATCGCGGGTGATCCCACGATCGTACGATAATCGTCAGGTGTATGGGCAGCGTGCGATCGCATTTACTGTACGGTCGCACGACTTTCGTCTTACGAGCACGCTAGAAAACCCGCCGAGAATCAGCTGGTCGGTAGCGTTATCGCAAGATGAAAGCCGCATGGGACGGTGTGCGCAAGCGCACAATGCCTGCTCTGCATGGCAATCATCGGGCTTGCGATGATCGCAAGTACGATCTGCTTGTCCAAGATGGGCAGGTCGTACGAAATTTTAATGACCTTACAACCATCGCACAATGAAAGGCGTGCGATGGTTGTAAGGTGTATGGGCAGCTGAAGCCTGATAATCACTTGTGTAGTAGAACTGGGAGTGAGGGGGAAAAATAGTCTGAGCCAATCAGGCACTGTTGGATGCAAACGCGATGACAAGAAACATGGTGACAAAAAGATGTGGGCTGATTAAGGACTCATTCAGATGGGCGTCCACGCCCGTAAAAAGACCCGATCCCGGAAGGGGCAGGTGCTGAGTGTAATTGCAATTACATACAGTAACACACACACCTGATCCTGCACATCCGTGTGAGTGCACTTGGACGTAGACATTGTGCAAGTGCACGCCCATGCACGCCTGTCTGAATTAGCCCTAAGGGTTAAGTTAACCTTTCTGACCATGTTTAACGGCACACCCATATTTGGGGTGTAACATAAAACATTTTCAGATCACAGCCCCCCCCCCCAATCACAGGTTTTTTTCTCCCTGCAGGCTTATTTCCCTTTTTCGAATTTGACACGTTTGTACGTCGCTCTACCTATACAGCCACATCATCCATTCACAGATCCTTTGACAGGATCTGTGGATGGAAAAACTACAAGTGTCATTAGCCTCAGCTACCACTGCAGAGGGACATCACCACCTTTCCTGTTCTGCCCGGCTGTTGCTTGGATCAAGGGTCTGGCAAGAGAATTTAGGGGGGACCCCACACTTTTTTGTTTTGTTTTTTGGCATTGGGGTCCCCCCTAAAGTTCCAACCAGATCTAAAGGGTCTGGTATGAATGGGGGGGAGCCGCACGCTGTCTGTTTTTTATTGTTTCTTTGGACTGTGAAAAGTTTAAAAGAAAAATCTCACTTTTTTTTCTAATGTCACTTTGCTGCGACGAAACTTCATTTGTAAACATAATTTAATTTAACAAAGATTTCAGATTTGTCCGAAACAAATTAATCTAACGTCCCTATTTTACACACATACGCAGTCAATTTAGACAGGAGCCAATGAACCTTCCAGCATGTCTTTAGACACAGGGAGAACAAACCAACTCCTTCAGGATAATGTCCGAACTTGGATTTGAACCAGGGATCCCCGTGGATTACACCACTGTGCTGCCCCTGGGTTTTTGACAATGGTTTCAGCCGACAGGAAGTGGTGAGAAGTCTCTCTGAGCCCCAGACAGCTTTCAAAACCTAGGGCTTCTGATCTTAAATAGGGATGAGCTTCGCGTTCGAGTCGCCGAACACCGAACATTATGGGATGTCCGTGGTCTGTTCGACCGCGGACAATGCACTGCGCCGTCCGAAACGACGTGGTATCAAGGGGAGGGATCATTACTGGTTGGCAAGCCTTCTTTTTTTTTTTTTTAACAGGTAAAGTTTTTCTTGAATTTTCATACATAAAACAATCACAATAAGACAATGACAATTACAGATCAACATTCTAAACTCCGCATCTCAGCAGTCAGTACAAGACAATACAATACAATAATGATAACTCAAAAACTAAAGAAACAGATACAAGTAGACAAATACATCAAAATAAAACGACTTGTGGATCGGTACACTCTGTTTCTGGGAGACTACCAAAACAAACCCCAGGATCAGCCAGACCACTGAGGGCAGGCCCCCATAGGGTCCAGGAGAGGAGTAAGATGAAGGGGGAGAGGAGTAGAGGGAAGGAGCATTCCAGCAAAGAAAGAGGGGCAGAAGAAGGGGACGGAAAGGAATACCAGGTCAGCATCAGAAGGGCAGGAGTAGCCGAGGAGAAAAGGGAGAGGGAAGGAGCAAGGGCGGGGGAAGAAGCCCAAAGCAAGAGGACCGAAGGTCAGACATAGGATCAGGCCTATTTCCGGAGACAGGGGGGGGAGGGTGTTCTCAGGAACTCCTCTTCGGTCAACCACGTCACTAATTTCCCCCCCAACTCTCGAGACCTCAGCCCACTCCCTCCGGACTACCTCTCAGGCGATGCAGGCGGGAGCAAGGTCTCCCCACTCGGGCCCTCCAGGGTAAGACCCCTAGCCGCCACCCACTCCCCCCAGATCCGATCAAATTTGCGAGCACAGTTCCGGCCCATATATGTTAGTCTGTATATCGGAAGCATCCGATCAATCGTGCCCAACCATTGTCCCACCGTAGGAGGGGAGGGCAGCTTCCACCTTAGAATAATTTCCATACAATAAAAAGTTTTGACAGGTGCTATACTTTACTTTTTAACCATGCTTTTGGTGTTATACTATGCTTTTGTTACAGTTATTTACAATGTTTAGGCCAATATACTGTATGTGTCAATTAATAAATCTCAGATTTCCTTTGCATTGCCCCCTACAACCACACACATGAGAGAATAATAATAATAATACTGTAATAATAATAATATAATTTTTCAGCACTTTTAGAACCTTTAACAATAATATAATTTTGTTTAAATTATAGTGTTGAAAATCTTATATTTACTTTAAAAACACAAAAAAGAGGGAACTGTATGTACTAATTACCTTTTGCATTAATAAAATGCCATTTATACATTTGTGATCTTGTAAATGGGATTAGACAAGCGATGGGAGTTATTTCCAATTCAGTTTTATTTGTTTATATTATTTAGAAATGGGATTTATTTGCAATTTGTATTTTTATTAATATTTAGATTATTTCCCACATTTGCTTGTAATGCATTCGGATTTATATATTTTTATTCCAAAGGAGCTATTTTTTATTTAATTTTTTTTTAAGTATACCTGTACTGCAACGAGGCAACTAGCATTTTCAGAAGGAGAGGACAGCAATTGTAGCCTCCTTATTCTTTCAGTATAAACAAGTCTGCAGAAGAACACGAGAAGGTGAGTCAAGGCAGGCTGTATTAGTGAGTATATCAGTATGTTTATTTGGCCCCGTTCACACCAGAACATCTCGTTGCGCATTTTTTTCCGCGCTGAAACGCATGCAAATTAAAATCCCATGTATTCGTATGGAGGCCGTTCACGCAAAAACGCTGAATCACACGTCAAATCATGCCTGTTGTTTGAAATAGTCCCTGAGCTTCTTTTGTGGCACTTATCAGCTCGTTTTGCTCTATTCAATAGAAAAGCACAGATCAGCGCATTTTTGCATGTTTGTGCGCGCATTTTTAGCGCGTTTTTGCAGCTGAGACTGCTTTTCATTGGACAAAACAAGCTGAAAACAAACCTTAATACACTATTAGTCTCCATTCAAACCTAGGCAACGTAATTTTTTCACGCGTGGTTTTGATGCAACTATTTTGCATGTTTTTATGCGCATAAATCAAGTTGCGCATTTTTGTGAGCAGATTGTACATCATTGATGTTGATGTTATCATTGATGTTAATATGCAGGTGCGCTTAAACGTGCAAAAACACAGCAAACACAGCAAAAAAGCATTTTCTATTGAGTCTATGGGGCCAAAACAAGCTGTAATGGAAAAAAAGCCTCATGTACTTTTTTCAGCTCAGATGTGAACAGGGCCATACAAATTAATGGGATTTATTTTGGGCATATTTTTTAGCGTTTTTTAGGGCAGAAAAAGCACTACAAAATGCTCTGTGTGAACCAGGTCTTACATATGAACAGAAAATGCCTGTAAAACACACTCAGAAACATGCATAGAAATGCGCAAAAACGCGCTGAAACGCTGTCGCCCTGGTGTGAATGTCTTAACATGTGTTATTTGCAATTTTTAACTGAAAATTAGACATGTAAGCTGCGGAAAAATTCAGTTCGGTTCGGATATTTCATTATTTCAGGATTCGGATCCGAAATTCAATTCGGTTCGGGTCTCGGATTCGGACGAAATCAGAATTGTTGTTAATTTCGGATGAGTTTACGAATATTTGTTGTGAATACCACAGAAAACCAGATATCAATACTAAAGCTGAATTTCCTAGACCCGAATGGCATTCGGGATCCGAATTTCCGAATTGCATTCGGGAGCTCCTGAACGCCATTCGAACGCCCCTTCAGTTTAGTTTTTGAACGAGATTCGGATGGATTGCGAAATTCGGGAATGGAAATTCAGATTCAGACACATTTGGATGCATTGGGTTCCGGAAATTCGGATGTGTCCGAATGTCCGAACTTCGGAAAATTTGTCCAAATTTTGTTTCGGAACGAAATGAATCGCACATGTCTACTGAAAATGTTGTTCATTAAGGGCTTTGTTAACATGTATATTATAGTTATGATTTTTGCATTGATATGTGATGTGGATCAGAACCACAACTGGGTTCAAATAAGATGTCTGCTGCTGTTCCTAATTATGTTGTGTTCGGTGCACCGAAGAAATCACAAACTCAGGGTTAACGGTTTATGAAGATTCTAATTTATTCAGAGTGGTCTCTCTCTTTTATACACAGATAACAGGAGAGTGTTTGTCACACATATGCCCACATCTATTATCTCTAAATGTCTTGTACTACTGGGCAAACTAGAGGAGCTGTTAGTTAAAGTCTTGTGTCTCTCGCTAATTGGTTAGTCAAAGATGTCTTCTGCCTGTAGCATCCTCCCTCGGCATTCCTTTCATGTATCCTCGGCTCGTTCCCGAATACAGGTTATATCTTGGTTACGCATAGCAACGCTAAAAGCTGAGTAAGGAAAGTCACAAAGCTAGGAAGCAAATGAAACAAATTCAAACATAGGAAAAGACATTTTCTTGATATGATCCACATTCCTTCACATATGTAAAGGTAATTGTATACATTTTACTCCCCAAAATATATTTTTCTCCTGATCCTCCTGGTAAGTTCTATTTGGTATTTAATGAGGTGAGCAGAAAATTGAGCCGTCCCAGCTGGACATAAAAAAGCAATCTGTGCGACATAATAAAAACTTGTAATAGTTACATAATTATTTTATACAAAGAAACTCCATTCGCAAATCTCTGCCATAGTTATGCATGTGAACCAAACGTTTTATTGAGCAGATTTTCATGAGAAATTACGACCTGCGCCAGATCAATAGAGCGCATTTTTCACATGTTCTATTTTCTCTTTAGAAACACACTTACACTTTGAGGGGTTGCATGTGCTCCTTCATTAGGTTTCATCCAATAGGTACATTGTTTTCCATAGAGCTTGTTGCTTTGTTGTGTTGCACAAATGTCTTTCATAACTGATGCACATTCATGAATTTCGATATGAATGAGCACAAAAATGACAGGTCAAATTAAAGGATAAATTCACCTTTTGCAAAAATGTAAGAAATGCATAAAAAGAAATGCATACCTCCGTACAGAGCTTTTACGGAGGTACAGAGTTTCAGTTAGGAGAGATGGGGGGGTGGCTGGACTTCAAACGTCATTTAATCACCTCATACAGCATCCAGCTGTCCCCGCTCTTGGTAGAGCTGCCCATATATATTGCATCTACCTAGGGTGAGGACGCTGTATGAGGTGATTTAATGTATTTTGAAGTCCAATCGTCCTTCCCCATCTGTCCTAACTGAAACTCCGTCTCTCAGTGCAATCTCTACCTGGGAGAGAATGAACAGAAGCCTGAGCTTTGCAGCTGTGATCGAGTGATCGAGTAGGGATGCACCAATACCGGTTTTTCGGTATCAAGTACGAGTACCGATATTTATTGTTCCGTACTCGCCTATACCGAAAGTCCCATTAGGGAGCCAGGCAGCATGTAATGACTCGTCACCCAGCTTCCCGATTAGCAGGGAAGCCGTCTCCATGCCCCCTCGTCAACAGGTGATGAGGGAGCATGGAGCTGGCTTTCTGGCCAATCAGGAAGCCAGGGGATGGGTAATGACTCGCCGTCCGGCTTCCTGATTGACCAGCTTCCCGGCCAATCAGGAAACTAGGCCGCGAGTCATTACACCGGCTCCATGCTCCCTTGTTACCAAGTGACAAGGGAGCATGGAGCCGGGTTCCCAACCAATCAGGAAGCTGGGCAGTGTGTAATGACTCGTTGCCCCGCTTCCTGGTACCGGAAGTTCCGTATCAGGCTAGGCATCGGAGCATTTGGACGAGTAAGAGTACTCGGCCAAATACTCGGTATCGGCACCAATACCGATACTAGTTTCCCTACTTTCCAGGCTTGAATGCAAATATTAAAGAAATGCATTTTTTTTATTTTTGCAAAAGGTGAACTTATCCTTTAAAAAGGTTAAGTATATTTATTTTTTCTTTATGGTTTGCTGTGCAAAAAGTTCACCAGGGTCAAAGACAAAAAGTGGTAAAACTTGAAACTTTTCCTAATCATTAAAATTCAAGTCAATCATGATTTATAATTGGTTAGGTAACCAATATACCTGACTTTACATAAGTCACATAAAAATGCCACTCCTTTCGTCTTCACAACCCTAATTTGAATGCAACAGAATGAAGGGAGGGATGGCAGACAAGTGGAATATTACATGTAACGTAGAACGGGGAGGGGCTGTCTTCGGTCTTGTGTAAGCTTTACCGTGTTACATAAAGCCAAAAAAAGCTATACGACTGCATGTGGAACAAGCTCAGCATACACAGGGTGTATAGAGATAACATCATCTATATTGCTGGTCACTCACAAAAGGAGAGAGGGGGGTTATTCCTGTCTCAGCACATTCCAACTCAACCCATTTTACCCCTAGAGGCAATCTACTACTAAAGCCTTATGTTAGTATCACATTCATAGAAACTATTTAAGGTGTGAAACTTCAGGAGACAGACTAAGACTCTACGATGGAGAATGTTAAAGGTATGTTCTGAAACCTCTAAAGCAACCGTTCTATAATGTGCACCCAGCGACAGCCTGTAAAATAAAAGAATCTATAGTGTTGGATATATAAAATAATGCAGAAAAACACACTTTGCCATGGCTGTGTCACTTTTTGTTAGTTGAATGGTAGGCTGAAGGTTAGTTTATTAGAATGGCTACCACCATAACTTAGTTACAGGTGCTCTTTATCTTGAAGTATAGGGTTATGTTTTGGGTTGTATAAGCAAGGCTGTAAACCTTCTTCTTTCTTAGAATTATTTCCATAATGAATTTCTATGTAAATTACATCAGTTTTTTTTTTTATGCAACAAATTTCTTTGCGCAGCCACTCCCACATTTTTTCAGTTGCTGTCTTCTTCTGTAGACGGATATATCTATCTATCTATCTATCTATCTATCTATCTATCTATCTATCTATCTATCTATCTATCTATCTATCTATCTATTTATCTATATATACATATATATATATATACACACACTATATTGCCAAAAGTAT